CAGCCTCCCGAGTAGCTGGGATTACAGGTGTGAACCAACATGCCCAGCTAATTTTGTATTTTGAGTAGAGACGGGGTTTCACCATGTTGGCCAGGCTGGTCTCGAACTCCTGACCTCAAGTGATCTGCTGGCCTCGGCCTCCCACAATGCTGGGATTACAAGCATAAGCTACTGCACCCGGTCCCCAGATGGATTCCTATTAAGAGTGGTCAGATTATCATGACTCTTGGATGTATCCGGAACGATCTTACTTTGCTTTCCCATCCTGCTATTGCCAACGTACTCGCATGCACTAGGGTCCTAAGTCTTCCCCTCAAATCCTAATTTGCTGCCTCTAAACTCCAGTAAGCTAGGAAACAAAGGACCTGCATTTCTTGGAACTCCCTGCAAAAAAAAGCAGTTTGAGAGTCTGCAGCTTTCGTGAGCCTGTGTAGGAGTAAAGGGCGTGGCATCTGCCACCTGTGTGGTTGCTTAGAGGTACTCTGTGCTCACTTCCCAGATTGCCCCTGTCCAGGATAACAGAAGTTACCAGCACAGAACCCTTCTAGTGAAGTGAAGTTTCCCTGTTTCAAGAGTGTCCTGTGAGGCTTTCAGAGTCGTGCAGTCCCTGCCCTCAAGAAAGTCCCCTTCCAATGGGAGAGTAAAGCACCCACGGGGAGCAAAGTGACAAAGCACACACCAGGCTTTCGCGCAAACGTCCACGCTGCATTTGCAATGCCACAGGTATCTGTTTACCTGGCTGCCTCCTTCCACTGTACTGGAAGCAACCTCAGAGCAGGGACTGGTCGACTCATTGTTAGGCTCAGCAGCCAGTACAGGGCTGGGCTCTGAATGAGGATCATGACCGAGTAGGGGACAGGGAAGAAACAAGAAAGGATGTTGATGTTTGCTAAGCCCTGGCTCCTAGCACTCTCTGCTGGACATGCTAGCATGAGTGATTTCACTCTGGTTGGTGATGTGAGCATCTCTGGGCTGGTTTCTAGAAGATGACACCGAAGTTCAGAGACATGAGGCAGTTTGGCTAATGGCGCACAGCAGGATAAGGCCACAGGTCTGCTGGTCCAAAAGCCTGCCTCTGTCCAGGGTGGTGTCCAGCCCATGGAGATGCCACATTTCCCAGGCAATGTCCTGGAAAACAGCACCCAGGTTCCAGGCCTGCTTATTCCCCTCATTCACTCCTCTATCCTGAAGTTGACTTTTATTCCACAATTTTGTCCATGAAAGCATTTCCCATGAAGTCTTTGGCTTTCGGGAGCCCCATGGATACTTCTGGAAGATGGAGCCTTATCCAGCATATCTTTCTCACAACTTCGTCACCTCCCCCAGGAGCCTGAAGCTGAGGGGGCCCCTAGACAGGGCTCCCTCAGCCTCTGCAGGTCACACTCAGAGGTTGATGAGGGCCTGTCACCTGACTGTCCACCGTTTCTGGGCTCCATGAGGGCTGATCCCTGCTGACCTTTGTGGGAACACTCAGCAAATGTACCAGAGGTAAGGGAAAGAGGTCATAAACAGCGGGCCCTGGGTCAGCCAGAATGCCCCAAGTGTTCTGGATGATCGAATGTTCTCATTAACTCAGAGCCAACCAGAAAGCAATAGGGGAAGAGAACTATTTTTTCTTTTGAAACAAAATGTCATAATTGATGTGTCTTATCAGGGGTTTTAAGGCAAAGGATGTGGACAGAGTCTCTCCCTTGGGAACTGAGGGCTTTCTAGCATCCCGCTAGGGATGTCTGCGACTGACACGACAGACCTCATGGATAAAGGGGAGGGGCCCCAAATCTAACCACATCCCCTTGTGCCCTCTCCAGCCTCACTCTGCCATACGCCTTCTGCTTCCAACCCTACTTGCCATCTCTTTTGCCTACAAGGCAGGATCCAGAAAACATTGCCTTTGATAATACATTTCATTGATTCTGGATCACTGAGTTTTCACATATTCATCAGTTTTGTAAAAAGGATTCACTGTGCACCTCATTCCGCCAGCTGTGCCAGCTGTCGTCCCCGCAGAGGTGACCAGCCTCGCCCCTGTCACCACGCAGCTGGCCTTCCCCAAGGGGAAATTACTGACGAGCAAGTGTGGGACATGCCCTGGTGACCAAAGCAGCGGGGAAGAGAAAAACCAGGGAGGGAGCCAGGACCACAGGCAGGGAGGGGTCACTGCTTTCCACAGGGAGGTCGGGGAAAGGCCATGGGCAGCACTGGGCTGGAATGTGGCGGAAGGGCCCTCCAGGCAGAAGGTGCTGCTGACGCCAGCGCCCAGAGGTGGGAATGTGCATGGTATGTCTGAAGAGCAGCAAAGGGAGCCGTGTGATGGGAACAGGAGAGGGGAGGGGAACATGCAGATACGGCCTTGTTATGATCAGGGCCCTGGGTAGACAGTGAACGGGAACAACTGCCCTCAGGGAGCGCAGGGTCGTAGGGAGAATGGCAACAAGCAAGCAAGCAGAGAAACAACCACAACTTCACAGAG